GGGGTTGCCCCGACCCAGGTGCAGGACCTTTACAAAGTAATGTGGCAGAACAGGAATAAAGTTTAAGAAAACAAGCTCCCGACTGCCTTCTGAAAAGGCTGCAGCATGCTATTGAGAAAGCCACATGGTTATTTTGCAGGAATTTTATTTCAGGAATTCTGATAGGCTATAAGACCCTGACTGTAAAATTAAAACAGGACCAGAACTTCTGCATAATTCACTGCAAAAGCGAGGTGTTGTCAGACTCCTGATGGGAAAGGTTAACACTCGTAGCTGGAAAGGTTACATTACAAAGAACAAGAGGTTTTGAGACTGGGAGCAAAAGATGGGACAGTTAGTGGCTGATTTGTTATCAAACCCTTCAGTGTCACCAACTATCTTTAAGTAATTTATCTCATGTATTAATTATTTCATTATTAGCATAATGATTAACACACTGAACAGATCAAGTAGACCCAGATGAACGGGATTTCTAGAAAATGCCAAGTGGTACATACAGTAAGTAAAATTAATATAGAGGAAAAACTCTGTCCCGCTAGAAGAAACAATCAGGAATTAACAAAAAAGTTGAGAAAGAACAAACAACACAAAGGACTTTCTAGAATAGCAGAATATTAGTTTTGTTATGCTAAAGTTTGCTTCAGTAAACTTACAAGATAAACTTACTTATTGTCATTATCCACAGTCTGAGACAAAGGTTCCTGCTTCTCAGGAATGTCATTTTTGCTAGTCTGCACTAGTTCAATCACTGAGTCTGAAGAGTCAGTGTCAAGTTTTCTTTTTTTGGAAAAGCTGCCATGGCCTCTGTCATTCACAGCACTCTTCTCTTTCAGCTCTTGACCAGCATCTCCCAATCCTGAAACCTCAGCTCTGCTCATTAATCTGCCTGGAAGTAAAAGAAAAGATTTTAAAAAATTGTTTTGGGTCACACTCACTATTGCAGCTCAAACTTACATTAAAAAAATACAAGAGCATTATTTTGGAGAGTAAAATATGAATGCATCTATACTGAAGGAAAACTAGCCCTGACACAGGATGCACAGACCTGTGAGGGAAAAATCAAGTGTCAGATAGGCTTTGCTCCAGAATGTTTTGACTGTCTGGCACCATCACATTGCAGAGTTCTTCAAGGTTCTTCTGCACATTTGATCAACTTGCAAATTAAGATTACATTGACTCACTTCTCTTCCAACCCCGTATTTCCCTGTTTGGCTCTCAGAAAAATTCTAGGGCACAGGAAAGGGACAATTACGCTTACACATTTTCCACAGGTCACCTTCTGTTACCTGAGTAAGTACAAACAAATGTCCCCTTGTCAATATCATCCAGGCAGCGGACACCCCAGCCTTTCTTCTCCGTGTTGAACACTTGCAACCTGACTTGAATGCCATGCTGTACAACTCTGTTCTGACACATCATCTTGTCACACCTGCACAACACACTACACTCATAAATTCTGTCAGGAGGAAGCAAAACAAGACATGATATAAAATAATGCATTACCAAAACAAAGTTGCTATTATTAGTTTCCCTCCTGAGCATTAATAAGGCAGTAGACTGAAAAGATAAAGACTGGCTAAAACTGATTGTGCAGCAGTGCTCTAAAGCTCATTACTTTCTTGACTGTCAATTAATGAATTTTAAGAATCTGACAGCCAGATTTTGGTATAAGTAGACAAGAATTTTTTTTTTTTTTAATTTATTTTAAAGGAGTAAATCCCACAGAAGCAGAAACCCCTATGAAGCACCTCATTCTATGCGGGAACAGATTTTAGCAAAGACAAGCTGTCTGCCTCATCCTCACTGTAGCTGTCATGAGTTTTAGGATTTAACTAAATATTTCTAAAAGAATTCACAATTGTGATTTTTTTTTTTTGCATTTTGTTTCTGGGTTCACTGGCAGCTTTAATTCTGCACACCAACCATAAACTAACATCACAGAGCAACAAAGGACCGCAAGGGGTTCTTTAAGCCTGTGGGTTCAGCCCTTAGCTATTGCAGAAAGCTACCTTGCACAATTCCTGTCCTAAACACCTGAGGTTACTGGCACCTTCCCCAGGCCACATATTAATCTGTGGGAGCTGAATAAGAGTAAGGGTGAAAACTTGTAGCACTGGGATGGCTTTGGAGACTCTTCAAGAGCAGCTGGCTGGTATTTCTTTAGGACTCTGGTCCTACAGAGCAAATGGGTGGACAAAACACAGGGCAAAACCCAAGCTGGCTACTGCTTCTCACTTCTTTGGCTGATATATGCTGTGATGGTCTTGTGACAGACCTTCCCTTGTGGCTGGTTTCCTTCCCCCCTTCCTTCTCCCCTTGGCATACCGGAATAAACCATCACATGGGCCAGATGTGGCCTGAGCTCCTGGACCAGCTAATACTACCTTACTCTTCACACTGTTCTTGGACCTTGAACTAAGCTGTGAAAATTGTAGTATCTGCAGTACATAAACATTTTTAACTCCTATTACTCAAGTCACGTTAATTACTTTTTATCTTCCTGATCTGTCACTGAAATTGTGACAAAAATGGAAGGTTTCAGTAATCCAGAAACTGCAGTTATTTTAGTCCTGTAGCACTTACACTACATAACTAAAATAAGAGCACACAATAAAATAACAGTTAATAGTTTGGTCTTTCTTACCCACTAGGAACACGTCCCTCCAGTCTTTTGTAACTGTATCCATGGGATGTTTTATTACTGGGAGACAGAGAAATTCTACTGCAGCCTCTTGCAGTTAGCTGTAGGCATGCACATTTTGACCTAAAGAAATAACAGTAAAACATCTCAGAATGTATTTGAGGCAGCATAAATCAAACATAAACCTAGGTAATTTAAAATGTACTTGACTATACACATACTCACTCACTTATATATATACATGCATCTATTTCCCCCCTCTCCCCTTTTACTCCACAAGGCCATTTCAGGCACCCTACCCTTCTCTTCATCTCTTGCCTGGTTATGTGTGCTTTACAATAACCATGTTCTCTCCACCCCAACCCCGTTCTTCTGACAAGCTCTCTAAAAGGCACCTACATAAACAGCTGAAGTACAACAGAAACTTCTTATAAACAGGACACTGTCAATGGACTGAATGAATCAATGAAAGTCACCTGTTCTGGCACAGCATCTTGGCCTGTTAGCCACTACTTCATTACCTTCCTCCCACCCTAGCCCCTAGTGAAGAACTTCACACTGCAAAGCAAAGAACTCAAGCAACAACGCTGGTCTTCACCATCTTATATCATGACAGTTCCAGAGACCCACAGCATTTGTGCAGACAGCAATGGACCAAATCTTGAACCCCAAAACCGCACATCAAAAGCATCTCAGCTCTTGGTGGAGATCAGTGCAAAGAAGCAGCATGCTACGTGCCTGCTGCTCCCCACCACTCAGCTGAAACTAAATAACTTTAATTACTGAAGCTTCATATACTAGGGTGTGACTTCAAGCTTTTGTTGGGTCATGGGCAATTATACTGCACACCAGCACATGTAACTGCCCTATCTATCAATAATACAAAATGGATTCAAGACCAAACATCACCTGCAGGCAGAGATCAGGTCAAAGACAAGCACCCTTGAAGAAAGTGGACCGAATTATCACCAAACTTGCATATGTTAACTGTGGCAGATTCCCACAGAATAATAATATGTAGCCCAGAGTGACTGGGCTTTAGAAAAAAACCAGCAATGAGCAACACCATTTGAACTGCTCAGAACATAAACCTGTTCTGTAACCACAGGGTTTCATTGTTTCTGTCTAAACAAGGGCAAGGACAGGATGCAGAGGCTGTGAACGGGGATGTCTCTTCCTCTGCCCTCATTAACCTTCTAAGTTCCAAATGCCCTGATCTCTCCAGGCTCTCCCATCCCATCTCTAGGATACCATTCCATAGCAGGAGCTGCAGTAGAAGTTGTCCCTTCCCTGCCCGCCAGGAGAACGAGCCTTCCTCTGCTGGCCTAAGACTCTCCCTTCCCCACTCCTTCCCCAAAACAGAGATTTGCTTGCCAGCTCCACCTGGAGGAGAAGCACTGCCAATCTGGGAAGAAAGGGAAAGGAACACAACAATCCACCTGTTGATCACTTCCTTCCCTACAACAAAGGCTGGACGGGTAGGAGCACCCAAGTTCTGGAGAAGACAAAGACACAGCAGTGTCAGTCAACACAGAGCATGACACAAGACAACTACTACAGCTATTCCAGCAGCGTTGGTCCTGCGTTATTTGGCACCGTTTGGTAACGTGCACCTTCAGACTTACACCACCACCCTACTACTGAGGCACCACGTGTCACTTGTCTGGGATTAGATTTTTCTACCTACCTATCAATGCAGCCATCTGTGCAGTCACACGAATCAACAAACATGCTGGAGAAATTGTTGAGACAATATCCACGTGGCCACGGTGCCCTCCGATATTTGAAGTAAGGCAATCTTGCGCGGTCAAGATCATTACAGAAGGAAACAGGCACAGACTCGACTCCATTGCTAATATCAAAGTCAAACACGAGGGGTTCGGGATTCAGAGTGTTCCTGCCCAACAGTACGTACGTGTTGAAGGAGAAGTGATCAACAAATAAGAAATTGCACTCTGTTTCAAACAAATAATTTTGCACATCTTGAAAGCTTCTCAGACTTCGTCCGCAAGGAGCTTTGTAATTCACATCCAGTGATTTGGAAAGGCAGTCCGCTTTCGCGTGGCGCCTTTGGAAGTGAAACAGGATCGGTATCTTCAGAGGATTTTCACCTCTGTAGGAGCCTGCTGCTCTGTTGGCAAGACAGGCACTGGAGCACTTGTGGTTCTGATACTGCAGGTTTAAATGTAAGTCCTGAATTTTACTAGATGCTTCTTTACTCCCTGAGCCTGTTTCTTCCACCTTCTCCTTTTTGCTATTTGGAATAAATTTTTTAAAAAAAAGAAGAAAAAGAGCAGCATCTTAGACAACCAGTAAAACACTCGGTTTTTTAGTGGTTCAATATTATTAACACAGGAAAGAACATCCCATTGCTAGAAGGCCAAGGGTTTCACTGAATCACCGTTTGCATCGTGTTACTGTACTAACATCTTATGAAGACATGTTCAGTGGCATTAGAAAAAAAGAAAAAAAGTAAAAAAAAGTAACAGCTTCTTCCCAGAAAGAACTTACACACTAAAACACAGACAGGACATTAAAAAAAAAAAAAAAGGAATTATATCTTTACCCCTATCTTCTAAATCAGTACCTCAGGCTAAACACAGAGAGACTAAGTCATGTCTCTGACTGTCTGCACAGTCTGTGAAAAGCTCAGAACTGAACTCAAAAATTTTTAAGTCCTAGCCCTGATAATCCTGGTAACACTCATGGATCTTTTTACCAAATGCCCCATTTTATTCTGCAATGTTCTCATGTGGTAAATTAGAGAAGTCTACTCAAAACCTCAGGTTTTCCATGTAGGTTAAGTTAAAAATACTTTCACTTTAAAAACTGTCAGGATTCAAAACTGGGCTTAAAATGTTGAATTTAGAAATATAAGAGAGATTAAAACCTCTCTCAAATACACTAAAGAATACATCAAATAAAGAACTGGAATAAAGTATTTAATGCACTGACCTGTGAGAACCTTCTACAGAGTTTGCAGTGTTGTCATCTGTAAGAAGATGCTGCAATTTGGGTTTGGATTCCTGTATGGCATCTCCGTCACACACATCAGTTACTGAAAAAAAATTGAATGCAAGCAAAAACTTGAGCAATCCACATTTCAACTTATAATCAAACTTATTTTAGATATTAAAGAGATAACTGCCAAAATTCATTAAAGGCAACACATTGCTATGACCTACAGCTAACAAAAAGCTTGCTAGCAAGTGCCCTACTAAAAAAAGAAGCTGCTTTTTGTAACTTACACAAAAATCACGTGTTTGCATAGAGGTGTGCAAATGAGTGACTAGCTGACACACACTCCCACACTTTCTCTCCTGCTCCTCCTCTCCTTCCCTTTCTCTCAAGGGGAAAAACTTAGATGTGCATTGACAAACTTGAGGCAGAAGTGTCCTTTCTGACGGACTATCAGGTGATTTGCACGTTAAGATCTCCCTTGTAGCTTTCAATGTGCACGGAGACAACACACACATGAACCACATACAGATTTCTCTTCATTGTTTGAGGTAAAAGGATGCCAGGGCATTACAGCTGCTGGAGCCGTGCACAAGGTGACCCTGCCTGCAGCCAGCTCAGGTTCATCAGGGCTCACTAATTCAAACTTGCTCCACTCAGTACAAGCCATACACACATACACACACCAACCACAAAAGCACAAACCCAGCTGAGAGTCCACAGTCCAGTACCTGAGGAAGCTAATAATTAGGTTTTTTTCCCTTCCAATGCTAATAGGCTTCTCAGATCTATTTTGTTTATTTCAATTAAGGGAACTAAGCTCCTGGTGAGTAAAACAAGACAAATTAAATCCACATACTAAATAAATACAATCGAGATGCACATACCATCTGTCAAGGTTAAGAGATCACCTAGATTAGCTTCATTCACCAGTGCCCAAGCCTGCCAGCATTCTATGCAAAAACCAAAACAAAACAGATACAAAGTGTAATTTAAGTAATGACACTTACAGGGGACAAACAGGGACAATAATAATAGGGAAAACAAGGTGTAAGTCCTCCAGAGACACTTGTTTTCTCACAATGCTAATCTAGAGCACTGCAAGACTGATACTATTACAAATCTTTTGCACCACAGCCCTTAATAGACACATCCACAGATTAGAATGAAATTACATCTGATATTAGTAGTTGTGAATCAGCACTGAATATCCTCAGGCTTTTGGAAAGCTGCTGGAATGTTTCCAAACACACACAAACTAGCAGCCTCCAGTGGCAGTAATATAAAAAAGACGAAACTTATACTAAGTTTCTCTCTTTACTTTGTCATCAGACCAGTCATCTTCCAGCTAAGATGGGCTGGATCTTGGCAGAACATTTAATGCTACTCCTGAATTGGTGGAAATGGCCTTCAGATAGTAAGGACCCAAAGGAGAGACCAGTTCTGTCTCAACCTCTTACCCCACGCAATAAATATTACAAGGTGACAGACAAATGTCAGCAAAATCCATGTTAAAACTTTAGTTTGAAATCTTCACAGAACAAAGCATAGAAACATTCAAATTTAACTATGTCATAGATTCATTGTGTCACCTGGGGATTCAAGATCAACTTTTACCTACGCACTGCTCTATCATTTTGTGATAAAAATCAGGATGCAGGAGCTTGAGTTACACAACAACTTGTGCTCCTAATTTAAAGCAAGCAGTACAATGCAGAGGGTGTGGCTATGCTGGTTTAAAAGCAGCTTACACTGCTGTACCATCTTCTTGCACAAAAAGAAGCAGTAAGATCCACAGATCACATTTACATGGGTGACAATAAAAAAAGTAATTTTTCTGAGTTAAATAAACCAGTTAAAAGTGCTTAAAAATGCCAACTACTGAGTAATTTAAATTCAGAGCTATCTGAACTATGGCAGGTATGACACAGCTCTACACAAAGCAGCCACAGCTCCCCTGCAGCCCAGCTGAACCATTACAAGGATTTCAAACCTTGGTTTGTGGCACTTCCATTCTTGATCTTCTGCTTTAGCAACAGCAGCACGTTTTGCACCTGCTCAAATATGATGTCCACTCTTCTACCTCCCAGCTGTGTCCAAAATGTCTTCAAGTCATCTGAAATGCAGATTTCCATTTACAAGTCTGTATAGCTCCCATGAAGTCTAAAAACACAAGTAGCTCCTAGTGGACTTTTCAAAGGCTCCCACTCATTTCATTGGGAGGCACGTCTGAAAAACCAGACAGCACAGCTGTTTTCCTTTGTAGGCTTAAACTTTCAGAAGTCTATTCCTAAACCTAATCACGAAAGTGAAACAGAAGTCAAGAGACCTCACCTGGAGTACTGCATCCAACTCTGGAGTCCTCAGCACAGGAAAGACATGGACCTGCTGGAGCGGGTCCAGAGGAGGCCACAAAAATGATCAGAGGGCTAGAACACCTCTCCTATGAGGACAGGCTGATATAGTTGGGGTTGTTCAGCCTGGAGAAGAGAAGGCTCCAGGGAGACCCTATTGTGGTCTTTCAATATTTAAAGGGGGCCTATAAGAAAGATGGGGACAAACTTTTTAGCAGGTCCTGTAGCGATAGGACAAGGGGTGAAGGTTTTAAACTAAAAGAGAGTAGACTCAGACTACATATAAGGAATAATCTTTTTAAATGAGGGCAGTGAAACACTGGACCAGGTTGCCCAGAGAGGTGGTAGAAGTGCCATCACTGGAAACATTCCAGGTCAGGCTGGATGGGGCTCTGAGCAACCTGATCTAGTTGAAGATGTCCCTGCTCACTGCAGGGGGGTTGGACTAGGTGACTTTTAAAGGTCCCTTCCAGCCCAAACCATTCCATGATTCTCTGACAGACTGGAGTGGCTTCTGATGGTCCATGATGCCACTACAGGCATGTCCACAAGGGATGCTGTAGAAGCTTTTCTCCAAACACCAGCAAATTAGTCCCACTATAAATGAATCACCACTGAAACTCATAGATGTGACACAGGAGAATATTTTCAAGTGAATTAACTGAACATACTATTAAACAAAAGACATATGGAAATTTTTCACAGCTGTAACCTCCCTTAGCTACACAATTGGACTATCCTGTCCCATCAATATTTTTGGTATGTTTTCTAGGGGAAAAATATTAAAAAAACCAGATAGAAGCAGTTTGATAAATTTTGTTCACCAATAATTAATACACTCCTTCTATCATGCCTCTTCCTCTGCTAGAAATATTTACAATGAACATGAAATGCTTTTTAAGCTACTGTTTCAGAACCTCTTCTCTTCCAAGTGTCTGCAACTTTGAGGTACTAAGTCCACTCATGAAAGCTCTTGTTAGAACATTAGCAGTGCATCTTTGGCAAGGACTCCAAAAAGGGAATATAGCTCAGGGTTTCAACAGACAATGCCAGAAAAGGGAACAGGTGCTCTCTCACAGAATGTCAGGGATTGGAAGGGAC